CTCGGCGTTTGGCTATCGGCGTTTACCATTGAAAGACGAGCCTTCGGTTTAAAAGTTACATTCAAAATATTTTTTTGATCTCGTCTGATATTTTCATTGAAAACTTTTCAAAAATTTTCTTCTTTATGTTTTGATTTGACATTTTTCATTCAGCTATTTGGTCTTCGGCAAACTTCACTGGAGCCTTCCACTACAGAATGAACGCAACCACATAACGGTGCTTCACTGTTGCTGCCTACTTTTATACAAATTTTAATCTTATGAAATTTGTTTCTATTAGCAGCAAAATAAATTATTTTTGCAAAATTTTATTTCTATATTTCATGTTGTTTTTTATTGTTACACCAGATTAAGTTTTAAAATGAATATCTAATGATAATTAAATAATAAAAAAATTAAAATAATAGTAATAAATCATCTCTTTATGTTTTATAACATGTGAAAAAGTTTAAAAAAAGTTATTTGTTAATTAATGACTTGTGCAAGGAGCGGGCTAACTCTTAGAACGTATGACAGGGTATGAACAACCAAGCTCGATATCAGCATGTTTGCTATAGACTAGGCTTTAGTGAAGTTTAAAACTGGAAAAGATCAATTAAATAAATTAATGAGAATTTACAGGCGGCTCGTAATAGCCCTTAGCCCTTACTATTTTTAGACGTGTTTGTTATCATCTTGACAAACTCGTTTTCTTAAACTACTTGAAAATTTTTTAATTATTAAATTGTTTCCAAATCAATGACTGTTTCACATTTCTTGCATCGACCTTGTTATATAGAACAGCTGGAAAAAGTTGCCAAGTAAAAAATGGAATAAACAATTTTTCCTGTAACATCGTTTTATTTTTAAATATTTGCAGTAACATCAGAAAATATCACACTTGAAAAATGGAAATATAACTCCCAGACTGACGATGACAGAAAGTCGTGTTTCGTGGTTTAAACTTTCCCAAATAATCAGTTGCAATTTTTTATTTTTCAAAAGCAATCAACCTGCCAATAAACAAACAAATTAAAATTTAAATGAAAAAACACACTAATGCATTTCTACTTAAAAAAAACCTTTAAACATAGTTTATTATAAATGTTTATTTATTTGCTTTTAACGCCGAATTTAAAATTTCAACAACATTTCCGCAAACTCAGTAAACATTTGTACGCACATCAAAAATTTAATCAGCCTGAAGTTTTAAATCAATCAAAATTTTCATCATCAGTTTTTTGAAGTTGCGTCAGAAATTGAAAAAATGCAATTTTCTTCATAAGATCCATTTACCAATTTTTCTTCTAAAAAAGAAAGCTTTCGTGCTGGATACGTTTTCGTAATTAATCATATTGGAAATAATTAAAATAATAATATATATTATTAGCATAATTAGTTCAATTATCTATCTATGATAATTATAAATGTGATCAAATGTACTCTACGTAGAGACATGATATATACATATGTAAATGCTATAATTTGGGATGATCAATTTTCTTACATTAACACTCATTTAATGAAAATTGAAAATTTATGAACGATATACTCTACGTCTAGTTCAATTAAAATTTGAAAGAATTTTTTTTGAAAATTTAATCACAGAGTTTGGGAGTTTCATTTAACATTATGTGTCTATATTATTGAACATTGTTATATATGATAAGTTAAACATTAAACATTATAATTTTGCATATGATACTACACTTGCACTAAGAAAATAACATATCAGAGGTTTCTTTTATTCAAACAATAATTTTTGTGAGAAAAATTTACAAATTAATGTCAAAATGTTCTCAACTAGCGAAAAATACATTTTTAGAAAAAGTAGATCTAAATTTACGAAGTAGCCTCAATCAATTATTAGATGTACGCTAATGGGTTTGGATCGAGAATCGTGGATGCATGTTCAAACGTGAACAATCACCGTGTGTTTCATACTTTTGAGTGCATGTTTTAAGCAGGTGACTGCTGCTGCTACCAATGTACTCTTTATTAAATTACAACTTTATCAATTTCATAATGTTTGTCGTCAAATAACATTTCATGTGCTTTGCTGCTCGATTTCAAATGTAGATCGATTTTGTATCAGAAATACAAAAAAATAAGTGGTACAAAGTTTAGAAGCAAAAATAAAATATTTTTTTATATGAAATAGTAGAATTTTTTTACTTTTTAAAGTTTGAATTCCCCCAGTAACCCGTTCGTATGCATGCACATACATTTTTTTCCAAACGCAAACACGTCAAAGTATACACTATACCAGCGGTTCTCAACCTTTTCAGTGACGTGGACCACTTATAAAGGTCCTGTCTCAGTTGCGGACCACCACTGAAAATTGTGTGTTTTTGCCCGAATCAAAAAACAAAAACAACTTCGAAATGTACAATGTTCATTTGAAATTTATGCATACATGTCAGACTTTGGTTACAAAATAGTGATTATTATTAATTAGAAAAAAAATTCAAATTATTTTAATGTGAGCCTTGAGCTTGCATATTTGAGCACAGTTTATCCACACGAGGTGTAATGCTTGAAAGACTCAAACGTAGATCATCTTCAACATCAAGTCGTGTCTTAATTGAAACTAGTGCAGAGAATCCACATTCACAAAGATTTGATGTCGCAAAAGGTAAAATAATTTTAAAAGCTTGCTCAGACAGTTCTGGATATTCATGTGAAACTTGAATCCAAAACTTAATCAAGCTCACTGTTTTTTGGAAAATTTTCAATGTAGAATCACTGGTGAGGTCAATGAATTGGTTTAATTCTGATGTTGGCAGATTTGATGAATCAGCTTTTACAAGAAACGGACTGGATACCCACAAAAAATTCTGAATGTTTATATCACCAAAGTAGATGTGGAATTGATCCAGCAATGATTGAATATGTCCAGAAATTAAATTTATCAATTTTGTTTTATCAATCTCAGCATTTTCTGGTTTCTCAGTAAATTCGTGTAATTGATCAAACATGTCAAAGTTACCTTCCAAT